TATATCAGTACTACAGCATTACCTGAGAAATCTACTACTAGAAATATTTACGCGTTAATATTATAATATAACTAAAAGATCAATCAGAAATATTAACTCTGATCAAATCACGTGCATGTTACAAATTGTAATACTGATCACTTTTGTTAGCATTAATACAGGATCACATTTTTCGCAGTACAAATATTAAATTTTTACTATTTCATTTTACAATTGCTTATTTTCTAATTTCACAATTCTAGCCTTAAGCTCACTAATATATTATTTCAATGAATCAGTCTCACTATTTCAGATTGTATGCTTGTGTAATATAGTATTAGTATATTAATATTCAAAAATAAAAAATCATGTGATTTCAACAATCTTAGGTCGTCTAAATTTTGTCAAGAAAAAAATACAGATGAATATGTAAAAATAATCGGCCATTAGAGCACTTTATTGATATAAGAAAAGTAAAATACAAATTTACTATATACACATGATTTATTCAAAATCTACATTTGAATTGTTTTTGTTTCTTTTGGACCTAACTAGAGATGCGTTAAGTAGTAAAGATATATTCACTATTAGAATATTCTATAAAATTAGTAAAATCATTATAAAATTTGTTACAATAGATAAATCTGATTGTTATATAGAGATTTCTGCTTCATAAAATGATAATAATAATGTACGATTTTTTATATCTCTAATAAGAATATTTAAACGTATTATTTGTTCAACTACTTGCATTTCAATAATTCTGAATTCATCTTTATCTAGTCCAGATAATTTGTAAATTTAATACATCCTATCATTAGTTTCACGTTATAGCTTTATTTCATCATCTTTTTTTTTCTGCAATATACAAGACAAGCGTAAACTTTCAACATATATAAGCTTGTATTTTTTCTATTATACTTCATTATAAATATGATATCTGGTCGTTTTTCTGCTTGCCCTTCGCCTTTTCTATCTGCACTAGTTAAACTTTAACATTTAGCACTAAAAGATAATAATATTAATATTAGTCTAGAAGTTTTTTAACTTAACATTCACAATTCAATTTTTTTTTAATTATATTATCATTTACCTGTTAACATAAGATAACCTTTCTAAAGGAAGACCTTTTAATGTGATCTGAATAGCAGAAATTATTACGTTAGTCACATAAGTATCTTCATTTTGTGATTTCGCAAACTCAGAGCTAAAGGCAAAATTATTTCATAAATCGTTTAGAGAACCTAAAATTCTTAATGTGATGTCTGTAAGCTCTTTATCTAATCCTTTTTATTCTTCATTATGCGAAAGTTTTTGTAGTAAAATGCTTATATTACTTTCTGCAAAGTTAACTACAAATTCTTCACATTTTTTTCATATAATTTGTAGAAGTGATAAAGGAACTATATCCTCTATTAGTTTCTAAAAATAGTATAATGATAAATTAAAATAATGTCTAGTGTTAGATAAAAAAATATGAGATTGTATATAAAAAAGAATTTTACCATAAAAGATTCTCTTAGCCATTCTGGTAATTTCTGTATCAGGTCTAAATCATCACTAATTACTTGGTTGATTAGAGGATCTTTTCAAGTTAAGTCAAAAATAGATACTTTATTTACATTTAAAAACAAATGCTGGTAAAGCTGTGACATATTTTTTCTGAATTTACTCTTCAGTGCTTTGATATTTTTTTGATTTTATCTGAAGTAAGAGGTCTTTCTCTATTTGTTTTCATCGTACTGATATTATATAAACTACAGACTATTTTAAAACCAATTTTAAACTAATGCAGATATATAATTAATTAGTCTAGGCATATATGTTAAAAAAAAATATCAAAAGCGCATACACTATCAGATTAAAATAAAGCCCTATTCTCATATGGTTAGCTACTCCAATACTCAAATAAAGACTTTATATGATACTAAAATAATTACATTAAATAAAGCATATAGCTATAGCCTAATTACCCTTTACACTGCTGAAAAAAATCCTGTGAGTGAGCAAATAGGATATTTAGTCTATTATGTTCTCTTCTCAAAATGGTATTACTGTCTGTATTATTCATTACTCAAATAAATTTTAGTTGCCAGTAGTTTAAAGTTTGATATCTTACCTCTGGTAGAATTTTAAAAAGAATAATATGACATGAGAAAACTTGTTCATATTAATTTTTCACAAATGTCACAGTCCGCTTAATAATACTTTTTAGCTCATTTTGAGTTATCCAGTAATTTCTTTGATTCTTTAGTAAATAACAGACCCAGCAGTAATATTCTCTTTCTCAGTATTTGACAAGAAATTATAAATTTTAATGTATATATCAATAAGTATAGCTAAAATAAAAGAATTTACAAAGCGTAAAAATACTACTGCCCAGTCATTTTAAATCTCCATCTATGCTCTCACTAACTCAAATTCATATTGGAGGAAAGAAAGGAGAATATGTAAGACAGTTTACGCTGAAAGTATATGTTTGAAAATAAAGATATATAGAATGTACATTAAAGATTTTGACATTTAGAATAGTATTAGGAACAATGCATATACAGACTTTTTTCGCTTGCCTGACTGCTTAATAGTTAATACTAAAAACTGACAACATTATATAAATATATTCTGCTTAGAATTGGTAATATCAGAGAGCCTATTCCTTTAAAGCAAATATTTATATTAGTAAATATTATTTTGCTAAATTTTATTTCGTTAAATATTGTAAGGAAAAAATTTGAAATATTTTAAGGGATTGATTTATGTGTAAAATTACTTTATCATACAAGCATAGTTTCACAGATGATTTGCAGAGTATCACTATTATATTATATATACTTTAACAAGAATTGTATATAGGTTTTATTCTGATGATTTAATCTTATATGCCTCGTATTCTGAAATTCTAATAAAATATACATAATTATACTTTTATGAATACTATAATATCTGGGATTCTGTAGCTATTTTAACATGTCAAACCAATATGTATCTCTAACAACTATATAGCCTTGCTGATATAATAATTTCTTAACAAGTATAGTATAGATCATCTAAAAGGCAAACAGTCTGAATTTTTTTTTTACTGATCATAATAGATCACATGATTTTTATCCAATCAAAAAACAGTTACATGAATAAATTATCATGTGATTAACACGATTTATCAACTAGTTTAATTTATTAAATCATGAGAAATTAAAGCAAAAAAGTTTTTAAAAAGGCTGAAAAATATTTTATTTATTTAATTTCTCTAATACATTTTCAGGAATTTTTCTGTGTGATTTATATTTTTTAATAGCATATTCTGCTAATTTACCTGTAATCTCATGTCTATATAAATCTATATATCACTATGTCTTTCTTGCAAATCTACGAATGATTATTAAATCTACAGAATCTAAAGCATGAGGAACCATCTCTTATAATCTATTCCATATGTAATTACAATTATTTTGTGTATATCGTTTAGTTGCTCTCCAATAGTGTTCAATAAAATTTAATTCACAATAAAACTTTAGAAAAAATATATAAATATGGTCAGCATTTTCAATTATTTCCTTGTTTAATCAAAACTTATTTTATACTCTTTGGCTGACCATCAGAAAAATTTATACTTTATCTTTTATTATTTGGACTCCAAAAAGTATCATGCATTTTTGATGTATTTCCAATGGGTCTAATATTTATTCTTTTGCAACCAATGTATCAAAAGCAAATGCAAAATTATTTGAACTATTATTGAAAGCAAATACTCCAATACAATTTGAAAATAAGCCTTAAATATAGAAATGGCTTTATATTCAATTTGCTTAATAAGATGTTCAGCTATCCAATATTTTTCATCATTCTTCTTTGGTTTTAAATATACTTTTGCTTCTTCTAGAATATTAAGATAATTCTCGATTTGTTCAGCAGTTAGTTTAAGTCTTTTACAAGTATCAGTTAAGAATTCACTTACTATAATTAATTTTTTGTTACCTTTTTTGCGTAAAAATAACTCACCTGACTTAGTTTATATTCACATTTTTCATCATTTGAGTAAAAAATGCATTCATCATAAACTATTAGTATATGTTCTTTTTCTTCTAGGGTTAATAGAGGCAATTTTCTTCATATTATCTTCTTCATATGTTATCATATATTTTTCAATTTCAGCCATTTTTGATAAAAACTTTTTTTGATATTTTACAATATCATCTCTCTCATGCCTATCGTAATATATTCCTTGTTTTTATTGCTAATAATAATATTCAAATACATTTAACTACTACCTTGTAGTACTTACACTAATCATATTTTTATTGATACCTGCTTTTGGTAATAATATATCTTGAACAAATTTTTTAAATTGATGCAGAATTGTGTGACTTTCATTTTTTTGAATTTACTTATGGCATATATCAACAATATCTTCATCATTAATAATTCTACTGACTTTCTGATGTTTTCCCAATGAGATAGAGGTAAAGTATTATTAATACACTAATATTTTGCTATCTACTAAATTTAATTAGCTGTTGATTTACTATTACTATTGTATATTATATTTATTACATCTATACTTGTCTTTATCTTTTTTTCTCCTTTTAATAAGCGTATGAGATATTTAAATATAGCCCTTTTCTTAATATATTCTTTTGTCAATATTCTGTTAAAATTTTCTTTTAAATCTCTTTATAAATTTGAAACTATATCTTCTGATAGCCAGACAAATACAGAAACTTTTTCTTTATCTGATAAAATATCTTGAAAACTTTCTTATATTGATCTATTTTGTCAGCTAAAAAATCTCTTTAACTTTTAGGTTCCCTTTGCTGCTTCTGTTTATGAGCTACTAGGTCCCCATTTGTCATAATAAGTTAACTTTGATGTTTTATCTACTTTATAAGAACCACGTTTTCTTTTTCTAATTTGGCATCTGGTCTTCACTTTAATCTAAAATCTACTTTCAAAAGTCTATTCTGTATATATTATTCTGCTTCTAAATCATTATCACTTTTCCAATCACTTACCTTATCATTTTTTCAATCCCTTTCACTAAAAGTATTATTCAAATTCATCTTTAATTGTTCCTCTAATATATTCACTTCTGCATTATTCTCAGCTCTAAAAAAAAAATATTAATTTAAATAAATGTATTCTTCTTATAAATACATTAAATAATTTAATAAACCTACTTAGTTTTTGTGCAAAATTTTCCTTTCTTATTATGATTTTTGTTTTTTACTGCAGCTTTTCTCTTTGTAAGTTGAAGCATGCTTGAAGAAAAAATTTTTTTTAAAAAAAAAATTTACTGATCAATTTGTATTATATCGTATTACACATATTTCATTGGGTAATTTTTACGTGATCAAATTTTATTGGATAAAGTCAATGTCATATGATAAGATCGATGTCTAAAATTTGAATATTTTATAAGAAAATCATAATTTTCAATCGCTTAAAACTCAAAAACTTTCTAATCAATTAAATATTTTAAACTGTAACTTTTATTCTTCATTGTTCACTTATAATTATTGTGGATAATTTTTTCTTTATAGCATATAAAACAAAAGTTTTAGGATTTTAAAGTCGGGCAATTTTATTTTTATTTATAAATAATTTGCACTATATAAATGTTGCAAAAGATAATCGTTGCCATAATTGGGCATTTTTCTCATATATCTAATCATTTCTTACTGGATAATAATGTCCTTTATCTCTATAATAAATATATTCTGGTTGTTCTAATTCATTTTTTATACCTAAAAACTTTATATTATCAGGAGTACTATTATTTCTCACCACCTTCCAAACTCATTTTACCAATGACTCAGGCCTTTTCTTGTAATTTCTGTAAGCTCATTAGATAACTGTTGTATAGAAATTCTTAAACTGATGATTATATTGTCTCGCAATCAAGATTTTCCAAGATCGCTTTATTGATTTTTCTCAAAAAATACTTTATTAAAATAGTTATACAGTATATTAGAGGATTTAACCCTGCAGATCACATTTTTTATTTAGCAAGTAATACATTTTACAATTTTACCAAGCAATCATACATGCAAATTATATAGTACAAAAAATAAAGAATATTATATATTGCATTTTTGGCTAATAATATTAATTTTCGATTGAAAGTAAATAGTTTATAATTAATATATTTCTCAGAATAAGTCAGTTAAACGAACATAATGTTTATCCCATTTTTCAATCTTAATGCAGGCTGATTAAAATAGTTTATAGATGGTAGTAAGTTATTTTGTTTTACATACTGAAATGAGATAAATATTTTGCTTGTATTACTTTTGCAATTTGATGATTGATAAGAAGTTGGTGAAATAATTTTTTGCTTGGCAGGTGAAATACAAGCTGCTTAAAATTTGGAATATTTAGCATAGTATTTGTCGTTATAGTTACAGCTTCGGGTTTGAAGCAAAAGTAATTTCAATGATTTTTCATCAAATCTTCAGATTCAACTTAATAGTGTTATGGTCAGTTTTTTAAGATGCTTATGAGTGATAAGCAAAGCAATGTATATGGGTGGTAAGCAGAAGGTTTAATTTGATATTTAGATTT